CCCATCCCCATCCCCATCCCCATCCCCATCCCCATCCCCATCCCGACCCGGCGGAGGGAGCGGCGGTGCCGCTGCTGTCTCCTCGGCTCCCCGCGCTCCTCTCCCGCGCTGTTTCCATAAATCATCCCCCGCTCTGGGATTCTCCAGGTGCTCCGCAGCTGGCAGCTTGTTACGGGAGCGTTCCTGCTTGTACCGCTTGTACCTATCGGGAGATAAGGACGGGAGGAGAGCGATGGCCGGGCAGGCGGGGACAGGAGCGACATCCCGGGGCCAGGAGGGACATCCCGGGGACAGGGGGGACATCCCGGGGTCAGGAGGGATATCCCGGGGCCAGGAGGGACATCGCGGGGTCAGGAGGGACATCCCGGGGACAGGGGGCACATCCCGGGGACAGGAGGGACATCCCGGGGCCAGGAGGGACATCCCGCATTCCCTGCGGGCTGGGTCCGGGCCAGGAGCCGCTGCTGGAGCTGCCGCAGGGATGTGACGGAGCCCGGGAGGTGCCGCTGAGCCCGCGGTGAGCCCGCGGTGAGCACACGGTGGTGTCGCGGTCCCCTGCGAGGGAAAGGACAGGGGGAAGCAGGGATAAGCCCCCCAGCCCTGCTGCAATGCCCAGAGGGGCTGGTGGCCACTGTGCCAATCTCAGTGGCCACTGTGCCACCCTCGGTGGCCACTGTGCCACTCTCAGACACCAGCCTCACCCAGGAGCCTGAGCCCTGCGGCACCCACCAGCTCCTGGGTGGCCAGGGGACAGCCTGGCCACTGGGAATTCATTTCAACGGAGCAAACTGAAGCTGGATGTTGGAGAAAAATTTATTTTCACCCCAGGATGTTCCCAACTCCCTGCTCTGCCTCGAGCAGCCCCGGGGAGGGTTTGGCCTCCTGGTGAACCTTCCCCTGGCACTCAGTGGCCGTGGTTGCCCTGAGGCACAGTGGCATCCCTGCTGGAACAGGCACCTGGTGGCACAAAGTGGGACAATGCCCCTGGAAAGCCCAGTAGGGTTGGGTGAACCTCCTTGCCTGGCTGAACGTCCCTGGAGTGAGGACCAGGGGAGGGAGGGAGCTGGGGACCATCCTGAGCCTCCCCACGGGGTAAACCTGGCCCACAACACCAGGACTGGGGGAGCTGCACCCCTGTGCTCTCCACAGCTGGAATGTTGCTCCAGGTGGGATATTCCACGGGCCAGCGGAGCACGGAGCACCCACTGCCTCCAGGGGATAAAATAAAATAAAAAAAAAACAATTAACGCTGAAATGCTGAAAGGAGCAGCAGGAGCGGAGACCTCCGGGGTCACCACGGGGGCTGGGGATCCCCGGGGGTGCTGGAGCTGTGGAGCAGGTGGGACAGGACAGCAGCCCCACAGAACCAGCCCCGGTGATCAGCTGGAATGACCCAGCTCCATCCTGCCCTGATGGGGACCCGCAGCCCTACAGGATCCAGCCCTACACGGAGCATCCAGGCCCAGCTCTCCATCACCACCACTCCTCACATCAAACCTCGATGCCTCTGCAGAAGAGACGGGCTCCAAATGATCCCATTCAGGCCCTGAAGCCCCACGACTCCATTAATTAATTACTAACGATGATCCGTCTCAGCCTCGCCTGCCCGTTCGCTATTTTTACCTCCCTATTTCCAACTCCCGGCACTAAAAAAATCATGAGCCGGGTCTCAGAAAACCTCCTGAGCGGGTCTAAAAACTCATTTTTTGGTCAATCCCTGGCAGGCTCTTTTGGTGGTGGTTCCCTCTGACGGCGGAGCTGGAGGTGGCACCCACGTCCCCGGTGGTGGGTGGCATCGCTCCCGCTCCTGGCACACATATGGTCCTTATTAAAAAGCAAAATTAGTCTTTCACCCTCTGGTGGCAAAACTTCAGAGCTCGGATCAGCTGTGGGAGCCTCAATTAATTACCAGCGGGTTGTTCCTATTGCTGCTAATTATGCTGGAATAGGCATAAAATGCCAGGAAGGAGCACGGGCTGCTCCAAAAAAGTTTGGGATTTAAGAAAAGAAAGAGCAGAGGCAGAGGATGCTCATGATGCCACCTCAGAGAAGCCTGTCCTGGCTTTGGTGGCCCGCCAGGATGTCACCTGTTGGTGCCTCATTCCTGGGGAAACTGAGGCAGCAGCAGGTGAGGAGCCGGGGCTGTGGGAGCTGCCAGCCCCGAGCGCCCACCCGCCAGGCAGCCTCGCCTCCTATAATTAAGTACTATCAACAATTGCACATTAATTAATTTAATATCCATTATTATTAATTAACAGGCTAATTAAGTCCTTCCTGTAATTAACACACCACCCAGCAGAGAGGTCTGGCTGCAGAGCCCTGCTGTACCAAGGGAAAGGGGCTGCACAGGGAGCAAGGAGGGACCCCTGGAGCTGGAGCCCTCGGGGGACACAACCCTGGGCACGGAGAGGGAAAAGTGATTCCTCAAAGCAAGGCCCTCACACGACATTTATTTGTATTTTATTATAAAAAAATACAGAATCCAAATGGGGGTGGGGGTGAGAGATCCGGTTACCATCAGCACGACGTCGAGGACGAAAGCGGAAATGTCGAAGGACGGAGCGGGACCAGCACGGGGGGACAGCGTGGGGGGCACGGGGGGCTGCTCCAGGGGACCCCCAGCCCTCCCCCACCACGGCCCGGGCAGGGGGGGCTGCTCCAGGGGACCCCCAGCCCTCCCCCACCGCCAGCCCGGGCACGGGGGGCTGCTCCAGGGGACCCCCAGCCCTCCCCCACCGCCGCCTCCGTCCTTCCACTCTCCCACAGTCGCTGTACACAATATAGATATTTATATATATAATCTATATATATATAAAACACAGACCGAAGGCCAGGCGGGTGCTGCTGGCTCCACGTCAGAGCCTGGCAGGTGCCCCCCGCATCCCCCCCCCATAAACACAATGCTTCTGTCACCTTCGGGAACCACGACCTGGTCTGGACACACGGGACAGGGACAGGGACGGCAGGGAATGCAATTTTTTTTTTTTCTTTTAATTATGTGGGGGTGTTTTTTTTGTAATTTTTCTTTTTTTTGTAAATTTTTTTTTCTCTTTTTTTTTTTTTTTTTTTTTTTTTTGGATGGTCGGGATGAGCTTATTGCAAGATTCCAGCTTCCTAGTCTAAAAAATAAAAATAAAATAAAAATAAGATAAACCCTTCCATAAAATCCATTCTCAACAATACATAAAAAAAAACGCTCACAGTTTAGCGCTGTATGTACAGGGATGGAGCCCCCCCGACCCCCACTGCAGGAAGGGCCGGGATCCACTCGGAATGGGGGGGCTCCAGCCAGGTCTGAGCCCACCTCTGGCATCCCCCGGGACCACCGAGCACCCCTGGCTGCTGGGGGGTGGGCACGGGACCTCCCCAGGGTGGGACAGCCCCAGATTTAAGGCGAGGAGGGGTCAGCCCCCGGGGCTGCGGGGTGACCCCTCCCTGGGGATCTGCCAGCCCTGGGGTCACGGCCAACCTCGGACTGGGGGTTTGAAGGGGGGGGTGGGGTGGTTTTCACTTATCAATGCAAAGGAAAAGGGAAAAATTCCCAAGCCCAGCCCTGGAATGTCGGGGCACAATGGGGGAGCGCCAGGAAGGTCCCGCACGCGGTCGCCGCCCCCCCCATGGGGGCTCCTGTACCCCCCAAGGCATCGGGGGGACACGGAGCAGGGCGGAGGAGGAAAACCCACGGCACGCACTCCTCCTGCCCCGGCCCAGCGCCCTCGGGGCGATGCCCACGGCTGGGCGAGCCCGGCCTGCCGGCTGCCAGCGCCCGGCGGTGCTCCCCGTGCCAGCCGCCCACTCCTGCGCTGCCAGTGCCAGCCATCGGCCGTGCCAGCGCTGCCAGTGCCAGCGCCAGCCCTTCCCAGCACTCCCAGTGCCAGTGCCAGCCTTCCCAGCGCTGCCAGTGCCAGTGCCAGCCTTCCCAGTGCTGCCAGTGCCAGTGCCAGCCTTCCCAGCGCTGCCAGTGCCAATGCCAGCCTTCCCAGCGCTCCCAGTGCCAATGCCAGCCTTCCCAGCGCTCCCAGTGCCAGCCTTCCCAGCGCTCCCAGTGCCAGTGCCAGCCATCCCCAGCGCTGCCAGTGCCAGTGCCAGCCCTGCCCAGCGCTGCCAGTGCCAGTGCCAGCCTTCCCAGCGCTGCCAGTGCCAGTGCCAGCCTTCCCAGTGCCAGTGCCAGCCGTCCCCAGCGCTCTCCGTGCCGCCGGCGCTCCCGGTGCTGGCCGTTCCTCTGCTCCCCGTGCCAGTTGTCCCCGGTGCTCTCCTGGCTGGCCTCTCGCCGCTCTCCCAGTGCCATCCCCGGTGCTCCCGTGCTGGCCACGCACCCCCAGTGCTCTCCACGCCGGCCATGGCAGTGTCCCCAGGCTGTCCCCAGTGCTGTCCTTGCCCGCTGTCCGGTTTCCTTTGCTGCTCCGGTGTCCCATGGGGACGGCGGTGACACCCGCGGCCCGAGCGGAGGGGACAGGGTGACCCCCCGGTGCTCAGAGGGGGCTGTGTCCGTCCAGGCCCCCCGTGCCCGGGGCAGGGGGTGGCCGGGGGTGGCGGCTCCGGCCCCGTGACGTCCTGTGGCCGGGCTGGGAAGGGGTCCGTGCCCACGGAGCCGGTGGCACCATCGCTGTGTCCGGTGCTCCCGGTGGTCCCGGTGGCTCTGCCCACGGTGGGGACAACGAGGGCTCAGCGGGGACTCGAGCCCGGCCCGTGCGGGTCAGTCTGGCACCAGGGCGACCCGACGGGAGCAACTCAACAAATAAAAATAAAAATATTTTTTCTTTTAAAAAACCGAGCAAAAGCAAAACAGACCAAAAAAAACCAAAAAACAAACAAACAAACAAACAAAAAAAAAACCAACGAAGGAAAAAACACCCAGACGGACGAGGACTCTGTATTTGGTCTAGAAATGTAAAAAGCAACGCCCCACCGGGACAGCCGGAGCTGCGGGGCAGGGATGGAGACTCGGGACCCGCTCCCCGGGACAGCCCGGCTCCGCTCCCGGCGGGACAGCCGCGCCACGGCGGCGACTTCGGGCGGCGACAAAATCCTCGGCGGCAGCAGCGACCCTCCCTGGGCACCATCCAGGCCACGGGGGCGGGCGGGATCCGTCCCCGGAGCCGCTCCCGGTGCGTCGGGGTCGGTGCTACGAGAGCAGGAGCGTCCAGACCACCGGCACCACCGCCAGCGCCGCCGGCGGCACCCTGAGGCTGCAGCAGGAGTTGTTGCTGGTGAAAATGGGCTCCGGGGACTCGTACAGGGAATCGTCTGCGGAGAAGGAAGGGACAGAGGGGGGGTGAGCGCCTGGGATGGCGGCGATCCGGGCTGGCACCGGCAGAATTCCCGCGGGGGGAGCGGGGCGCTGAGCCCTCCCCAAATCCCGGCTTCCCCAAAGGAGCTGCCACCCCCCGGGGATGTGACACGGGGACATCCGGGTGGGGCGGTGAGGTGGGAACGCCGAGGGTGCTCCGGTTCCTGCCCTTTTCCCGGGATTGCGGAGCGCTGTGCCCCGTCCCCGTGTGCCACGGGCAGGTGGCATTGTCCCCGGGGTTCAGCCAGGGATGGGGGGCACGGTCACCCCTGGCACACTGCCCGGGGGTCCCGTGCACACGGGGGGACACACGGGACCCCATGTGGTCACTCCCCGGCTCATCTCACTCCAGTTTGTCGCTGGATTTTGGATTTTTATGCAGGAAAATCAGTCTGGTCCTGCCTGGGGATGCTCCACCCACCTGATCCCCCGTGCCCCCGGTTCCAGAGGGTCCCTCGTGCCAGGGGGAAGTTTCCAGACTCATTCCAAGGCCAGCCCCAGCCAAGGGGTGCCCCCTCAGGGACCCCCCCGGCCCAGCCTCTCTCCCCCTTCCCCTCCCCTCCCCTCCACAAGACAGAACAAAATCCCAATATTATTAAAACACTAAAAAATAATATCGGGAGAGATTTTTTCCCCCATCACCCTGAACGGAACATGATGAGTTTTTACAGATGGTTCTGTTCTGTTGGGTTTTATTTGAAAGCCACCAAAGGAAGGGAGGCGAGAGCCATCGGTTACCCGGTGACATTCCGCTGTCCCCGGGGAGAGCCGCTGCCATTTGCTAATTACACGTTAACAGGAGAAGAAAATTATTAATTTGTTTTTTTTAAATGGCTGATTTATGCGAGTTGGAAAAGTAGCCACTGAGCAGGGATGATTATTGTTATTCATTTTTATTTTTTTCCCTGCGTCTCTGTCTGGGCAGTGCTGAGATGGCTCCAGCACAGCTGAGGGGCCCTGTCCCCATCCCTGTCACCCTGGGGTGGCACCCAAAGGCCACCACTCGCCCCCAACGCACGGGGAAGGACTTGGGGACCCCCCCAGGGACCCCCCAAACCTCTCACTTACTTGTTGGCCGAACATAAACCTTCAGCTTCAGGCAGGGCCTGTCCACCGTGTTCGGGGGGGACGCGGCTGCAGGGGGAAAAGGGGACAAAGGGGGTGGATTGTGGGGACAGCAGCAAAACTGGGTCAAGGCACGGAATAAAAACAATAAACATTGGGAGAGAGGGAGGAATCAGTAATTGTTGGGGTGATTCTTCCTCTTGGGATGAGAAAATGGGATTATTTTATATATTATATATATATAAAGAGATTTAATTTTCTCTTTTTTTTTTAAATTAAATCAGGGTTTTTTTACCCATCCCTTTTGCATTTTGGCACTTCACCCCATGGGGGGAAGGAAAAGGTGCTGAGCTGAGCAGGACCATGAGCACCCCAACTCCTCCATCCCAGCCCCATCCCAGCTCCTCCAGAGCTGCTGCCAGCCTTCCATGGGGGTGGGGTTTTTTTTACCCTCCCATTTTCTTTTCCTTTTTGGCACTGCACCCCATGGGAGGGATGGAGAAAGTGCTGAACTGAGCAGGACCACAGGCATCCCACAGCATCCCATCCTACGGCATCCTAACCCACAGCATCCCATCCCAGAGAATCCCATCCCACAGGATTCCATCCTACAGCATCCCATCCTACGGCATCCTAATCTACAGCATCCCATCCCACAGCATCCTAACCCACAGAATTCCATCCCATAGCATCCTAATCCACAGAATCCCATCCCACAAAATTCCATCCCACAGCATCCCATCCCACAGCATCCTAACCCACAGAATTCCATCCAGCAGCATTCCATCCCACAGAATCTCATCCCACAATATCCCACCCCACAGAATCCCATCCAGCAGCATCCCATCCTGCAGAATTCCATCCCATCCTACAGCAATTCATCCCACAGCATCCTAACCCACAGAACCTCATCCCACAGCATCCTAACCCACAGAATCCCATCCCAGAGAATCCCAACCCACTGAATCCCATCCCACAGAATCCCATCCTACAGCATCCTAACCCACAGAATCCCATCCCAGAGAATCCCACCCCACAAAATCCCATCCCACAGCATCCTAACCCACAGAACCCCATCCCAGAGAATCCCACCCCACAGCATCCTAACCCACAGAATCCCATCCCACAGAATCCCATCCTGTCCTGCTGCAATTCATCCCACAGCATCCTAACCCACAGAATCCCATCCCAGAGAATCCCACCCCACAAAATCCCATCCTGCAGAATCCCATCCCAGGGAATCCAAGCCACAGAATCCCATCCCGCAGCATCCCACCCCACATAATCCCATCCAGCATCATTCCACCCCGCAGAATCCCATCCTGTCCTGCTGCAATTCATCCCACAGCATCCTAACCCACTGAATTCCATCCCACAGAATCCCAACCCACTGAATTCCATCCCACAGAATTCCATCCCACAGAATCCCACCCCACAAAATCCCATCCTGCAGAATCCCATCCCAGGGAATCCAAGCCACAGAATCCCACCCAGCATCATCCCACCCCGCAGAATCCCACCCCGCCCTGCTGCCCCCCAGCTCGGTGCCCAGGCCAGCTGGTGCCCTTGACCCGCTCCGGAGGCAGGAGCGTGTCCCGGTGCCCGCGGGTTAATGGATTCCAACCCGTGGGCTCGAGCAGGAGGTAATTTCTTTTCTTTCATGTCTGCTAAATACGGTTCCTCAAAGAGGCATAATTTCTAATGTTCCGCATGACGGGAATTCTAACCGGGTTAGCAATGATCAGCTTCCCATTTACTCCTGTGTAATCTCTCCCTAACGACATTAAAAAATAAAAAAAAATAAAATAAAATAAAAGCGGGGAGGGGGGTTGTTGGGGGGGAAGAGAGACAGAGAGAGTTGTGGCCGCAGTTATTGCGCCGGTGACATTTCACGGGGGGGAAGAGACAGGGGGAAATGGTAATTTAATATAGATAAAAGGAACAAATTAAGTGGGCTGAAAACAGCTGCTTTAGGAAAAAGAGGAGGAATGATAAGGAGCAGGAGCGTGGCCGTGGCTCCGGGGCTGGGGTCGCGCTGCCTCGCTTGGGTTTGGGTTTTATCCCAGCACCTGCTCCCAGCACTGCTGGATTATTCTTCCTGTGGGCTCCTCTGTCCCTGCAGATGTTCTGGAAGAGGAAATTCCCTGCCAGGATCCCTCGTCCTGCAGCCAGCACCGGAGTGTCCTCCAGAGCAGGCCGGGCAGCTCAGGTTTGGGTGAGAAAGGGAGCCCAGATTCAGGAGAGCAGGGGGATCCATGGGAGAGCACAGGAATTCCATGTGAGAACATGGGAATTACATGGGAGAGCACAGGGATCCGTGGGAGAGCACAGGAATTCCATGTGAGAACATGGGAATTACATAGGAGAGCTCACATGTATGTGGGAGAGCACAGGAATTACACAAGAGCACAGAAATACATAGGAGAGCATGGGAATAGATGGGAGAGCATAGGAATTCCATGTAAGAGCATGGAAATATATGTGAGAGGGTGTAAATTACATGGGAGAGCACAGGAATTCCATGTGAGAGCATGGGAATTACATGAGAGAGCACAGGCATTCCATGTGAGAACATGGCAATTACATGGGAGAACACAGGTGTATACGGGAGAGCACAGGAATTCCATGTGAGAGCATGGGAATTACATGAGAGAGCACAGGGATCCATGGGAGAGCACAGCAATTCCATTTGATAACATGGGAATTACATGGGAGAACACAGGTGTATACGGGAGAGCACAGGAATTCCACAAGAGCACAGAAATACATAGGAGAGCATAGGAATTACATAGGAAATTATAGGAAATATATAGAAATTATACAGGAATGATAGGAATTATATAGGAAATATATGTGAGAGGATGGAAATCACATGCGAGAGCACAGGAATTCCATGTGGCACCACGGGAATATTTTTGAGAGTGCCAAGAATACACAGGAGATTATGGGAACACTCTTGGGGCTGGGGCCATTCCCGGTGCCATTTCCACCGGGGTGACACCAGCACCTCTGGGCAATCCTGGTCATTCTCATGCCCAGAGCTGTGACAGTTCCTGTGGGATGTTTGCCTCGAGCTGGACATGGGGCTTTTTAGGGGGGATTCTGCAGCATTCTGTGTCACCACCAGAACCACCCCATGGATCCCCCCACCCCACTCACAGATGTAGTAGTACTCGTGGCCGGGCCGGAACTCGAAGCCCAGCGAGAAGGGGGTGAAGAGCTGGAACTTCTCGGAGAACTTGAGGGGCCCGTTGGGGGAGTCGGGGCGGTTGCACTCCCAGCGCTTGAAGCCGCGCTGCCGGTGGTCGCAGGACGCGTGGCCCTCGTAGTTGACCATGTAGAGGATGTACCTCTCCATGCGCTCCGGCAGCGGCTCCTCGTAGTGCGGGCAGTAGATGTCCAGGTAGTCGTTGATGCTCACCTCCACCGTGTAGTCCCCGCGGTGGAACCTGCGGAGACGTTGGGTCAGAGGGTCACGGACTTGTTGTCGCCCGTTTGGAGGTTTGGGTTGGAAGGGATCTTAAAGCCCATCCAGTCCCCGTGGGTGTTCTGTTTCTGTGCCCTGCTTGGTGTCCTGGAGCGGGAAAGGAGGGGCAGGTGAACACAGCACCATGGAATCCCAGGATGATTTGGGTGGGAAGGACCTTAAAGCTCATCCAGTCCCCGTGGGTGGTTCTGTTTCTGTGCCCTGCTTGGTGTCCTGGGCTGGGGCTCTGCCAAGCTGCTCTTTTTGGGATTGAAAATCCTCCTTGTGTTGCAGGAAGGAGCCAAGGAGAGCCACTCCCAGGAGATCAAGTGCTCCTCCAGCTGATCCGGGACTATCGGATACGAGTGGGAAAGGAGGGGCAGGTGAACACAGGACCATGGAATCCCAGGATGATTTGGGTGGGAAGGACCTGAAGCCCATCCAGTCCCCCCTGCCATGGCAGGGACACCTTCCACTGTCCCAGGGTGCTCCAAACCCCAATGTCCATCCTGGGCTTGGACCCTTCCAGGGCTGGGGCAGCCACAGCTTCTCCATGACAGGGCCTCACCTCTCCGTGATCCAAAGCCTGATCCAACCCCAACAGCCCCATTAGCCTCCAGACTAACCCAGATCCTCTTTGTTTCATGCCAGCAAGCCGGCACCGTTTGGCAGGAAACCACAGAGAAACGAAGATTCCCGGCGGCGCCGGCATCGCCGCAGCTCAGCAGCGATCCCGGTGTCACTGGTGTTCTTGGCACCGACCATTCCAGAGATTAAGGGATTAGCAGCACTGGAGAACTCCATGGCACATGCCAGCACCCCCCTCCAGCTCCTCAGGGCACCCCTGTGAGCCCCTCCCCAAATTCCAGGCCCCCCCAGCAGCACAGCTGGTGGAGCTCAAGGCCGAGTTCACCGTTCCCCCACGGCAGCTTGGCTTCCCCTCCTCACTGAGTGAGGATTTTTCCTATCAATTTAAGGTTCCCCCCATCTGGTAGCCCCCAAAAACCTCAGCACCACCAGGGACAGTGGTCACCCCACAGCTCCAGGGCTTGGCCAGTGGCTGGAGGGGTCAGCACAGCCCTGGTGGGCTGGGGACAGTGACCACAACCCCCTCAACCTCCCAAAGCAGCATTTTGGGGGTCCCAAACACCCCCTGAGGCTGTGGCAGCTGCTGAGATGGCTTCAGCTCACCCAAAACGCCCCAAAAGTGCACCCCCATCCCTGCAGCAGGATGGTGGTGGAGAGTGACCCCCAAAAGGGAAGGGGGGGAAGAAGGGAGGTGGTGTGGGGAGGGGGGGTCCTGCAGCCCCCCTCCAGCTCATTACCTGCCTCATAAGCTCTCTGATCACACAGGGAAGGCGCTAATTAAGGAGCAGGGTTTCTCCCTCTCCTTCCCTCTCCTTTCCCGAGCCAGTTGTGCCAACCCTGCCCCTGGCAAGGTAACATTGGAAAATGTAAAATTAATACAAAGGGCTGGAATTTACTGGGAAACAATTTTCAAATGCACGGAGAACAATAAAAAATATTTAAAGAAAAAACCAACAAAAAAACCTTCTTCTCGCTGCCTTTTATTTAAAAAAATTATTTATTTTAATGATCGTTACTAAAGCCCAAGCAAAGGCGGGGGGGCCCCCACCTATCAGGGGAATAATAGCAACAATAATTATTACATTTTTGGGGGAAAACTCACTTTGAGGGAGTGACAAATTGCTGAATTAAAGCTGATTAAAGCTGATTAATGGCCCGGACACAGATGGGTGTGGGGGGGCCACGGGGAGGGGGTCACCCTCTTTTGGGGGGCTGTGGGGAGGAGTCACCCTCCTTTGGGTGAGGGGGGCTGTGGGGACCCCCAGCATGGTGCTCCCCACTCTGCATGGGGTCCTGGGCTCCCCCAGTGCATCCCAGTGTGATGTTTTGGGACGGGGATGGTCCCAGCACCAGGGGTGTACCCAGGACACCCCCCAACCTGGCAGCCCCCACCCCATGCTCCCACCCTCTGGCATCACCCACCGAGCCTGGCTCCATCGGGTTTGGCTTTAATCAACAACTTCCCAGCACCGTCACACCCCTGCCCCTTCCACAACAGGAGCAAGAATCCATCGGAGGCAATTTAAATAAAATTCAATTGTCCAGAATTAAAATCTCGGAGCTGGTGAAGCCCCTTTGGCAGCTCCCAACCCCTGTGTCCCCACACCACGCCGGGCAGGGTGGCATCCCCATGCTGGAAACACGTTGGTTTCTCAAGTTTTTACCTCTTGGATATTCACTGTGGAGGGGAAAAACCCTTCCGAGAGGAGAGGCACCTGCAGATGGAGACCCCCTTGCAGGGCAGACCCAACCAGGAGAGCAAATCCCACACCCAAACTCTGGTCCTGGTCCCCCAAACCACAGCCAGTGCCTCAGTTTCCCCTCAGAGCTACAACAGCATCCTCCCAAAATTCCCAAATTCGGGCAGCGACCCAGCACAGGAACAAAGCAGATTTGTCTCTCTACACCCTGCGCGACCAGCCAGTGTCCCAAGGGTTAAATAATTCAGATTTTTCTTTCCTGAACAGCTTGAAAAGAGATATGATTGCGCCCACTGGAATACGGGGAGGGGGGGGATATTATGGATGGAAAAGAGCTATTTAAGCTGAGGAACGGTGTTGGCACATAAACAAATGGGTATGAACCGGCCATGAATAAATTGAGGCTGGAAATTAGGAGGTTTGGAACCACTGGGGGCCTGCTGGGGCTCACAGGGGCACAGGGGCGAGGGGGGGACTGGGGCAGGGGGCCAGGTATGGGGTCCCCCCCTCTCCAAGGGCACCCGTCCTTGCGGGGCCAGGCACTGAGAGATTTAAAATCTCCCTTCCGCTTTCATCTCCCGAAATCTCCTTCATTCAAATAGTCACAGCGTGATCAGGAGTAATAAGCCTATTACAGAGCAAAATAAAACACAGCAGCTCCCCCCTGCCCCCCATCCCAAACCAGCCCCCCCAGCCCTCCTGCCCTCTTTGGGGCTGTTAAACACAACCCAAGGGGAATTCAGCACTGCCAACCCCCCCAGCTCCCCCAGCCCTGCAAGGAAATGGGGACAAAGTGGCTCCCGAAGCTGGGGGGTGGCAGGGAAGGGCCCCCGGGGTGCAGGAGCCCACCGACCCCTTCCTGCAGCTCCTTTCTGCATTAATCCTGTTGCTCGGCCGGCTCCTGGCACGCCCGTGGCCGGCGATGGACTTCACGCCGGGAGCGTTTAAGGCGGTTTTCCATCTGCTTCTCCCTCCTTGGGCAGCCCGAATCGCTGCCGAGCCCGGCGTCATCCCTCGGGATGACAACGGGCAGGAGCCGGCCGGGGCCCCCAGGGGGAATTTGGGCCACGGGCCGGTCCCAGTGTCCCAGAGGCTGATCCCTGTTCCCTGCTCACGAGGCAGAAGTCACCACGGAGCCGGGAGGGGATGGAGCTGGAGCTGGATGCACCTGGACACCTGTGTGCACCCAGCTTTGGTCCAGTGGGTCTGGCCACCCCAGACCCCATCCCACCACCTCAGCAGTGCCAAAGTTGATTTTAACTGTGTTTCCAAATATTTTCCATGGCACAGAGCGAGCCACCACCCAAACTCCCTCCAGGCTGTGCCGGAGGATCCCAGCATCCCACCATGGCCAAGCCCGGCGCTGGCAGGGATGAGATGACATTCAGGGGATGCCCTGTCCCCATCGACCCCAACCCCCAGGAGGGTGGCAGTGACGAATTCCAGTCCCTAGAGATTCCAGTGTGTCCCTGGTGCCACGGTGGGACAGAGCGGGGACGGCGTCGTGGCTCACGGAGCGCCAGTAATGTGGTCCAGAGGGACCCCGCCGTACACACAGCACCTAAATTATTTAATTTCTCCAAACTGCTGCACCTTTATAAATCATTAAAAGCTCCTTTTGATCTGTGTTAATGAGGTTTCCTGAGTGCGGGGCTGGGAAATGCTTCGGCGCCAGAAAGCGACGCCTCTGATTAAAAAAATAAAGAGGGGGTGAGTGGGAGCGTGGGGGGCAGGAGGGGCACGGGCAGGGGCTGGGGGGCACGGGGAGGTGGGCACGGGACGGGGGGCACAGGGGCTCCCCTGGGCCCAGGCAGACAGTGGAGGGGCTTTAGGGATGCCCGTCATGTTTATGTTCTTTCCCTTCCCTTCCCTTTCTCTTCCCCTCCCTCGCCTTTCTCTTTCAGTTTCCCTTTCCTTTTCAGTTTTCCTTCCCTTTTCTCTCTCCTTTCCCCTTTCCCTTTCCTCTCCTCTTTCCCGGAGCTTTCCAGCCAGGGAATCCTGGGAACACGCTGGTCCCAGATGCGACCACATCCCTGGGGAATGCCGGGCAGGGCTGGGGCTCTTGGTGCTCCCGACGCTCTGGAAACAATTCCCTCCTTGGGGAGCAGCGGGATGGGATGGAACCCCCGGGGCTGCCACCGGGAGGGCCCGGTGCCAGCAGTGCCACCGTCGGTGACCCGCTGGGTGACCCCGGCGGCGCCGGCCCTGGCAGCTTTAATGCCGATATTTATCTCTGCTCCAACCTCCGGCTCCACGCTCAGGAGCTCAATCACCGGGATCGGGAATGACGGGGACGGCTCGCACCGACGGCAGCTGGGCTTGGGGCTAACACCGGCTGAGAGCCCCGAGCTGCTCGGGGGACAGGGTGGGACAGGGTGGGACAGGGTGGCCACGTGGATGGACACAAGGACGGGGACAAGGACAGGGATGGAGATAAGGATGTGGATAGAGACAGGGATGGGGAGAGAGACAAGGAGAGGGATGGGACAGGGATGGGAATGGAACAGAGACAGGGATGGGGACAGAGAGAGGGACAGAGATAGGGACAGGGATGGGGACAGGGATGGGGACAGGGATGGGGATGGGGACAGAGACAGGGATGGGGACAGGGGTGGCAGGGGGGAGAGACAGAGACTGATGGAGATGGAGATAAAATCTGGTATAGGGATGGGGAAGGGAATGGGGACAGGCATGG